GGCGGGGAGTCTGCTTCTCCCTCTGACCCTCCTCCCTCTCGTGCTCTCTGTCTCTCATTCTCTCTGTCTCAAATAAATAAATAAAATCTTTAAAAAAAGAAAAAAAAAGAAATCCATCCGAACCCTGACACATCTGACCACAGGTAAGTCAGCAGTGTGGCTCCAGCCCACTTTGATCTTCTGGCTGCTAACATACCCCCTCAACACACCTCCATATCCCTGAAGGTGTTTATACATAATGCCCTACCCCTGCCAAAATACACAGAATGGCCCAGCTCTACAGTTCCCAGCCAGCCAGTCCCCCTACATCTTCCCTGTGCTCCCTGGGACCTCTGTCTCTCCTACCACATCCTGCCTGTCTCATCTGGAATGCACCCAACACTTTCTCTCTCTACCTTTCATTATCCTATACGAGGTTCTGGTACATCCCCAGAGAGGAAAGGCAGACTGGAAAGAAAAGCAGCAGGAAGCTCTTTGTACGCTGATATGGACCTACCTCCACGGTATATGCTATTAGGTAGAAAGATACATGACAAGGTGCAGAATGCCTCTATTTGGGTAAAAAATAGAAAAGAAAAATTAGAGATACTCTGACTGAATACATAGATACACACATATTATTCCTTGCCGAGGGGAATTGGGTCACCAAAGTTACAAGGAGAGATTTCTGTTGTTTTCTATGTCTTCGGAATTCTGAACCACAAGAATATATTCCAAAAAACTAAATGTCTAGTTAAGTGGAAAAAGGTAAATAACAGTGTGCGTAGTGCACTTATGTGAGAAGGAAACCGACGGGACATACATACTTGGGCATGTATAAAATCTTTATGGAAGGATAGTCAAGGAACTGGTTAACAATGATTGTTTCTGGAGGGGATCTGGGTGCCAGAAAAAAGAGGTATGAAGGAAACACTTCTTACTGGCTGTCCTTTGTGCATCTTTAATTCATCTTTCAAAATAATGACAATGAAGCATGGCTAATTTGACACTTGAAAAAAATTAAAATTTTCTAGAATTCTATGTAGGGGCACCTGAGTGGCTCAGTCAGTTAAGCGTCTGACTCTTGATTTCAGCTCAAGTCATGATCTCAGGGTCATGGGATCGAACCCACTTGGGCTCCATGCTCAATGGGGAGTCTGCTTGAAAGATTCTCTCCCTCTGCCCCTCCCCCCATGTTTGCACATGCACCTCGCTCTCTAAAATAAATAAATCTTTAAAAATAAATAAATAAAATAATAATAAAATTGTACGCAGCCTTTCAGGCACTCTCAATGCCACTTCTTCCCCACAGACTCTACAAAAGTTACCTTGGTTGGGGAGGACCATGGAGGAAGGTGAGCAGGCTGCCTGGGGTTGTCAAAGCCCAGGCCTGAGGCCAGGCAGGCAGGGCAGACAAGAACACCCAGCCAAGAGGACTCAGAGAATAAGAGAGACCCTAAATGAGGCAATTCCCAAGTTCACCAAGGCTGGGTTCAGCCACTCTGGCCACTCAGGACATCCTGACTTGTCCTGAGTTACAGCATGGAGGGCCTACACCAAGCCAGGAGACCTCTTGGACTCTCTACCAGGGGTATGTACAATAGGATGATGATGAAGGGCCCAACCTGGATAGATAAGGCCACAGAGGTCATAACCAAATAAGATTTCTTGTTCCCTCCCTGAAGGGCACTAAGAAAATGATCAGGGTTAATAATCAGTGTTCAGTAACTACACCTATAGACCCCGGCTCAGGTGAGTCCCGGACAGCCTAAAGAAAGACTCTCCCCTTAAGAAGGCCCCCTTCAGGGAAAGCACATCACCCACTGCTCTCCAGGCTGACACTTCCTTGGGAAGGACACAGGGTCCTGGGGCCTCCAGTTCTTATTGTGAGCTCAATGTGGAGCCCACATCACTCACAAGCCAGAAGGTGCCCAAGAAAAGAGGGTGCCATACAGGCCACCACAGCCATGGTGGCAGGTGAGAACAGAGTCCCAGCTAATGAGGCCCCTTCTCTCCCTGGTCCTCTTGTCCCCTTTCTCAACTTCTTCTCCCTCCTTTTCATATTCCCTGCTTTGTTGTGGCATTCTAGAGTCTAGGCTTTCTGGAAGGTGAGTTGCACAAAACAAATTAATTTGGGAAACAAAGTACCACATCCACATACCCTTCCTTCCTACATCACTTGAAAGGACAGGCTGGAGAGAAGAACAAATCCAAAAATGCTGGAAAACAATAAATAGTGCCATCAAAAGACCAGCATCATTGAAGAATTCCTAAAATATGAAGCACACAGAATCAAACTGACAGTTAAAGAGAGAAAAACACACGTAAAATATGCAGAAGAGAGCTGCTATGGAAGTGGGAAGTATTGGGGGGGGTGTCCTTAACAAACTCAGAGTTATATGTAACAAAAAGCAAGAAAGACCCCAGGCCAGTCACAATGAGAGTAGCTGGGACCCACCCACTTGAGCAGGCAGTCTCTCTGCACCCTGCTTGTGCCCAGCAACCTTGTTCTTTGCCCCAATGAACATGTGAGTGTGGACAGAAGTGCTGGAGAGAAAGAGAAGCCATCAAAGCCCACACCCCATGGGCGCCTGGGTGGCTCAGTTGGTTAAGCGACTGCCTTCGGCTCAGGTCATGATCCCGGGGTCCTGGGATCGAGTCCCACATCGGGCTCCCGGC